GGAACAAAGCAGTTTGAATGAATTAAAACGATCGACAGAATATATTAGTTACGATTCAAGTATCTATTTTATCAAAATATAATAATCTAATTATTATTATTATCATGCTTTTCATGTTCATCGCCATTATTACCAAGTATTGCCAAGTATTTGAATCTCTATTATATAACTGTAATCTTTGAATAACAATGCTTTGATTACAATGTCGAGAATAAGCAATACTCAAAGAAATATCAATTAGCTTAAAATATAATAATAGGCCTTCTACCTTCGAAGAAAATTTTCAAATTTTAATTTAATCCTACAAAATCCGTTTCTTTTCTTCCTTGTCTTTTAATTCATTATTTAGGCTTCAAATATTATCTGTTTAATTTTTTAAATATTTTGGAGGAACCTGATTGAGAGAGGAAAAGATGCAATTATTTTCTGCACACTTATTCATTATTTACCATCATACTCTGTCACACACACATGTGCAATCTGTATAAATTATTCGTGTATAAATTTATTATATTAATGTATAAAATGATTATTGATTGCAATAGATAGAATTAAAATCTAACATTCGGCATAATTGCAGCTACATATTTTTAGACTCATTTTTTTAGCAACTAACAAATATCATACTATTTTGTTACTTCATTATCACATGCAATAGGATCATCTTGTACACGGTAAACGTTAATTTCGATTTTGAAACGTAAATTGATTCCGATCTTCCTCGGCTACGAAGAGACAAACTAGCTTCTAGTCGGTTGCTCGCAGCGAAACGGTTGATCTAAAATGCGAGCGCAACGAGAGGTACGATGAAACGGCGACGTTTCTCCTCGCGCTGAAACGTGAATGTCGCGACAACGTTCTCGACTCCGTATATTTTAGTGCTGCTACATCATGCCAACACACGAGCGACATGTTCGTACGTGATGATGTTACATAGTTCCCTCCTTCTCTTCCTCTTCTGTTTGCCATCCTCATTGAACCTTCGTTGGCCCTTTGTATGTTCACACGCAAAAGCGACTAATATCGTTGCTGATCTCGTTTCTAGCGAATCGAGGATGCACACACGTGCAATTATTTGGACACTTTGTCATCGTGTAGTAACTACGTTATTCCTAGTCGCGTTATTCGAGAGCGTCGCATGAAATCCCGAATCCTGTAACACCTTGAGCTTGCCAAAATGTGCTTTGCCGAGAGCACGAGAAGTGCTGTCTCGTGCTTCTTGAGCAGCTATTTATCTGCAAATTATATGAGCGACGCTCGTAGATATTATATATATTCTAGAATTATTGCCACTTGTCTTTCTTCATAACTATATGTACTAAATAATATATCAGAAAAATTGATGAACTTGTTACATTACCAACAAAACAAATAAACGACAAAATTGATCCCTAGTTGACTTTAAATAAAGAAGAACTTTTATGAAGATATTTTATTTAATTACAAACAAAGTTGATATCTGGAAAATAATATATAGCTATATAATATATAGCTATATAATATAATTTTTGAGATAATTGAAATTGATTCTCGACGAGTAATTTAATTGAGGTTCATAATTTTTAAAATGTAATATTAAATTTGTTAATAAAATTTTCAAAATTAATAGACGATTAATTTAATGAACCGATATAAGAATCTTATTTAAAGCGAGCATTATGTTAAGATCTATACTGTTACGGTTGACGTGTTCGTTTGCCATGTGAATTTAGAGCGTCGATTAATATTACCATGATCCACATAATGTTCTGATATGAATTCTCACTAGTAAAGTGCATTATATTATTAATCTATTCTGGAAACCGCAGCTGCGTATCGGCTATCTATCAATAAATTATTCAACGAACCAAAAGAGTTGATCTAGTAAATAATTAATTCTGAAAGTCCTATACTTACAACATTATGTTTTTCTGCAAAATTGTTAACACGTGTACTTGCACGGTTTTGAAGTTTATTTATAGTATATACGTGCAGATGTATATATATATATAAGTTATTTTTCTATATTATAAGAGATGCTTATTCATATTTATTAGCAGAATAATAACAAACATTTGTATCGTATAGTCATTATATAAATAAATTAAATATCATACATTAATGTAATACATTAATCATCATGATAAACATCGATAATAAACATCATAATATACATAATAGTAAACATCGAGATCGATTTCATTATTTTAAAATTCTATTTAGCTTAATAAATTTCAAAGTTTTTGTTAATTATCTTAATGGCTTAGTTTATGTGATAAATAATGGCTTCACCTTAATTGATGAGACAAGGATGATATTTCATTTTAAACTAAGCTTTAACAGTATCATTTGAATATACCCTTTTCTCTATTAAACAATAAATATCTCACGTATGGCCGCATTCGAAAATGATTAAGATTCTAGCTAGAATTAATATCTATCGATAATTTATTCTATATATATAGATATATCTATGTATTTCTAAATTAAGATAGTCGGGATTCAATATAAGAGTTTCGCTAATGAATTAACAACGAAGGGTTCTTTCTCTTCTTTAGCTCGATATTATCAAGAATCTACAGCTGTCTGTGACTTTTTATTGCAACTGGTACAGCGATTCGAGCGAAAAGGACAACGCAGTAAAAAAGATACAGTCGAAGTACGAATAAAAGAAAAAAGAAGGAAGAAGTAGTCGACAAGGAAGATAAAAGATTCGTCAAGGTAAAAATAAGAGGCGAATGAGAGAGGTTTCTCCTTATCGATCAGAAATCGATTCCTTGAAGACAATAAAGTAGCTATAAACTTAAAAGATCGATATTGCGTCATATACGAATGAGATAAGAATTATAGCGACGAGGAAACATTGCACTTTTCGGATGAAATCTCAAATTAATTACGGCCAGAATGTGTGCCGATCTTTTTCAGGAACCCTAAACGAACTTGTGAAAAGCTTGCGATGAAAAAGTCCAGCCGGATTATCTCGCAACTGTGCAAACATTTAAAGCCAAACAGAGTAAATAATTAATCACCGTGTGCTAACCGGGTAAAAGATAAGTTACTTGCAAGCTTTAATGTATCGGCACAAACAAATACTGCGATAGAACATGATACGGTAATTAAAAAACTTTTATATACATTTTGCATTCAGGATGGATTCATCAAATTTCTTAAAAACTTGAAATAATGACATACCGTATTATTTTATTCGCTCCGAATGATGTCAAGATAAAGAGCAACATTCAACAATCTTTCCAATTCGTTGCCGAGAAAAATGAGTATATGCGAAAGGAAAAAGCGAGGGAGGAGATAGAAAAAGAGGGAAAGGGAAAGAGGAAGATGGTGACAAAAGGACCGCGCTCCGATTGCATCGTTGCACTCTCTCTGTCTCTCTCTATCTCTCTCGATTTTCTCGAATTTTCTCATCGTATCCTATCTACTTGCAGTCTCTTCCTTTTACCCGTCTATTCTCACGTTCTTACTCCCATGCAGTGCTTTTACTTTTTTTTTGCACCCGAGGGAACACGGAGCATCTTCTTAGGAAGGTGAGGAGAAGAAGTGGTTTGCGCGGATGTTCGTCTACGATGCAATCGATGCACAGCGAGACGAAACGACAATAGCAGCCGCCGCATTCTCGTGCTTCTGATCTACTGATTGCTCACCCATGCGGTACGATCGGTAATATAGCCAGAGAATCCGTAAATAGATCTCTCGTAAACGAGTTGCTTGTAAGTCAATGTGACGTGAGTCAAATTTTCAACATAGGAATTTAATCTTGTAATATTAATAAAGATTTTCTAATTGCATATTATCGTTATGTTTACCATAAATGAAAATTGAATTAATTATTACACTGCATTTTATATATACATTTGTTTTTTATATTATAAATAAAATTATATTAATACAATTTCTCTTGTCTTCTTTCTGTCTTTACTTTCTTGTTTAATATTAATATTTCAAAATTAAAATGAGGCTGTGAAATTTGCAAGGCAGAAGATTTTAATGAAATATTTCCAAAATTTGGTTCATGTCACAATTAATATAAATGGTGCAAAATAAAATATTTTTACACAAATATATATTAAAATTGTCCAAGTCAAGTCTATGAAATCTCTGGAAAAATTTTGTGAAAATTGGATAAACAAAACTTTTCATAATTTTGCGTATTTCATGGAGGTTGCACATTTGAAATGTAATTATTGATCATAACCACATATACCATCCGAATTTTCGCTGCATTTTTCCCTCTAACGTTGCTCTCGCTTCATCATGTCGCGCCACACGATGGCAGATGTATTTTTTATCAGCGATATTACAACGCATCCTCGTAAATGGAAAGACCGCAGGCGATGGAAAAGTAACCGGTACAGTTATTGATTTTCTGTTAACTGGCTATTTCGCCGAGAGAATTACCACGAACGCATTTTGAACATGTCGTTTACTCCAATGCGGTATAGTTATGAATAGAAGAATCTATGCGCATAACTACATATTATCGTTTATTGTATGTACATTCGTGTTTATTTGAAATTGAGAAAAAATATCATTGTTAAGAACTTACAATCTTTAGCTGTAAATGTAATAAAATAAACACTAAGTTTAATTCTTAGTATTTATTTTATTCTTCTAACAATCCCGTTAAAAGAGCAAAAAAGCACATACAGATCGTAAACTTAGTAATGGATGTCATTCATTATCGCATATTTTGTTCTATTGTAGAATATATAAAATTTTTAACTAATGAGAATCTTAATGAAAATTTTCAATGAAAATTGCGCAAGCAATTTCTCATTTTACATACAAATAATTAAAAAATTTTTCTACATATTTTCTTTCTTTTTCTCTTTTTGATATTTAATTATTATAATTATAATTTTTAAAATTTAAAAGTTTATAATGTACAAAGTTTATTCTTGAAATTTTTATAATATTAGAGTTTCAATATTAAAATGTTTCATCTTATAAGAATCGATTGTAATAAAATAATTACAAAGAAAATAAAAAAATTGTGTTACACTTACCAATTTCAACCACGCGTTGGTCGTAAGTATTTGGTTCTTTTCATCCTGAAAAAAACAAAATTTTATGTTATTTTACATATACATAATAAAAATTAAGACATGTTGTAATGTATGTATATGTGTGTGTGTTATGAAGTATATATTGCATATAATTATTAGAATATAGAGCTCAGAATTTTTCTTTGCTTGATGTTGTATTAAAAATTCAGTGTCCTGTATTTTAACTGAGAATAATAGAAGATGTATGATATATTACTTTTATGTATATATGATATACACTTATATGAATGATACATTACATTATATTGTTTTAAAAATTAGCACGATTATTTATATATTAAATATATATTAATTTACTTGATAATTTTTGTCAAAAAAAACATAATTATACATATTGACACTACGTTTGAATCATTTCATTAAAATAGATATTTATTTATACTTAAATTATACTTTTTTATTACATTGTATAAGTTTTATTCACGAAATTTCATCATTCTATCATTTTTATCATCTCTATCATTTTCTAACACAAGCTATTTATTTAAAAATGATGCTATTGATAATATATGCATTTGAGAGCATAGTTCCACATATCTCATTCAACGTTGACGCACAAACTCACTCATACGTTTCGCTCGATGCAAGCAAACGCATACAGCCAATATTTATTCACAAAATGAATTGAAAGTGCGATTAACTTCACCAATATACTCGATAACGCGCATTGTGCTCGGATTAATTTTAAAATATTTTAAAAAAAGCTCGATCGACATCTATAATGATTACGTTCACATAACATATAATTTTAAAATATGTAGAATAAAACATATTAAATCGATTATTATATGTATATATGATGCAAATATCTATTACATATCTATAACATAATTAAAAATACTGCAATCGAGTGTTGACAATTATCGATTATTAAGAAAGGAAAAATTAAATTTAAAATCGGATTTGTGTCATTTCATTTATCATGTGCACGTGAAAGATTTCTTTATGTCGCGAAAAAGCTATTAGCCGCTTTTCACTCGGCCGGCAATTGCATATGCGTACAAAATTTGGATTCATGATACTAACGAAAAATTTTGAAAAATTATGACAAACGCAGAAGCAATGCGAGGAATGCGATAAGGAATGCGAATAGTCCAATCGTAAGAACATCCGTCAAAGAGATAACCAATAATCGTAAATTGTCGACTGCAAACGTGGCTTCGACCGAATCGATCTCATCCTCTTTCATGTAGTGTAATCGAGAAGTGATTTATAAAACAAATATATTTTGTATTATTGCCGAGGCAAATCTCATAGACAGTCTTATTAATTGATTTCGTTACTCGACGGACGCATTCAACGTTGTAAAATGAAAACAAATTGATAGGTAATTTAAATAAAATTTCAATAAAAAATAAAAAAATATTAATAAGTAAAGTAAATAAAAATAATATTTATATACGTAAAAATGTAATATCAAACGAAATACGTAATGCTACTCATATAGACGTGATGTGTTTTTCATATTGTCTATTAAAATTTATTATAATATATTAGATCATAATCATATTGCGAATAAATATTTACTACAAGCGTTTATCAATAATTTAGAATTTACGAACGATCACGCATATTGCGTCACACAGCATCGAATAAAAAGATCAATTTGAAAAATTGCGAATCAAGAGATTTCTCATTCCACATTTCGAGTGCAATTTTAAATCCCAATCTCTCCATCTCTCAAGCAAAAACCGATATATCGTTTCAATCATCGAGAGGTTTACATTTTAAGGACATACTTAAAAAATACATGTTTGTAGTTGAAAAAGAAAATCTTTGAACTTTGCACATAAAATTCTATTCCGCGCAGAATAACAAATTTTAATTTAAATGCGATATTATTATCTTTGTAAATAATTTATTTACAGTTTATCTTTATAAAGAAAGAACATTAAAAGATGTCTGCAAGATAATTCAATAAAATTTTGCAAAATTTTGGTCAATAAAATTAATGGAATCCCATTATTTTTGCCGCTTAAATCTCTTTTTGCTTTTCAGAATCTAATGACGAAGGTTTTTGCGTGACAAAGGTTGTGCACAGCCCACGCATTTCTCTCACATCTTCTCTCGGCGCACTTCCGCTTCCGTTACGTCGGTGCTCTTTATGTATGGGTCACACGGATGCGTTTTGTCATGGCTGATTCATTGGTGCAACGTAATTGCACCTTACGACAAAGATGAAAAACTTACAGTATATAGTGCAATCACTCTCTGCGCTCATCACTCACTCAGTGTCAGCCTGAGTAAAGCCGAATAAAATTATGAATAATGCTACGAATTAATTTTTATTTCAAGAATCATGAGACATCACGGTTGATATTACAAAGTTATTATGAATTTTTTTGTAGGCGCCGAACAGTAATAAAAGAACAAAAATTAATTTCCTCTTTTCACGAATAGAGGAAAGCGAGATTTTCAATTTTTTCTCAATCTAGAATAATTTTTCCGGAATTTCTGTAAATTCTTCCGCTTCTACTAATAGACAGTGTTATTATATTAAATTGAATGTGCTTTGTATAACATATTTTATGTTACACACTCTGTCGGCGTAATATAACAATCGATCAGATATGCTGAACTCGGCTCAATACGAAACCCGGAATGAATAAAAAAAAGTGCAAATTTCACGGTTCGCTTTCCCGTCTGAAATGACGTGAAATTGGCATACGGATTCTCCATGACGTCGACATTATTCGACGGACTTTGCGAAGATACATAAAATACGCGATTCCTGATCGATGAGAGGCAAGGGTTTCATTTCGTAGCCGACAATGGCGGTAACAATGAATACTGCATTCCCTTCGTCCCGCGATGAATGAAATGTATCACATTGAATTTCTATGGATTTTACATTTCGGATCAAATCTTCGAAGAAAGCTGTTTGAGTTGTGCGACTATTCGTGTGTTGTACAATTTACACACAGGGAACTGAGAAGTCTTAATTAAGGGCGAGCAATTAATCAAGATAATTAACGTCAACAGACGCTGACAAAGTGCATAAACATTCGTCAAGTGGAAGGGTACGGCCGTTTCGGAACAAGAGTTTCCGCGATATATGCTATGATTAATCGATGCAACGTGTCGCGACATAAAAAGTTCATGACACATATATCGGTCGCGTAATGCACAAGTTGCATATGTGTAGTACATGAACAAAACCTCGTACCTCTTCGTTCATCCGCTTTTGCTGTTATTTGCTAATGCTTGCAATTTTTGTTGTTTTCCTGCATTTCTCAAAAAACAATATATAAAAACAGTTATTAAAAGTTTAGAATATAATTTTATTGTCTTCTTCGTTATTTTGATTTGCAAAATATTGTGTAATATATATGATATATCTCGACATAGTAAGCAAGAAAACAATGAAAATATTTTCTTTTGTGAGGTATGGATAGTATTCTTGTTCGATAACAGCAGCCGTGAAGCAGACAGTAGTACAAGTCGACGTTTCATCGGCCACAGGAAGCAAAAGAGAAATAGCCACGACTGAGCGGCCAAATATTTACGACCGTAAAGTAAAAAGTTTATAGAGCGCTGAAAAACTTGGAAATGAAATTAAGGGGAAGGAGAGAATAATCGTCGCTTTCGATATTATCTCCTACTGCTTTATCGAAAAGATAATAAAAATCGCGCGCGAGATGTATGACATATAATGTAGAAAGTATTCTAAAGATCATGGAGGAAGTTCATGTTTTTTATATAAGAGACACAATTTCGAAAGTAAAATATTCCATAGATATTATATCAATGCTATTTCGCGTGGCTTTTTAACTACACTAAAATATGATTAGTTTTAGTTTACTGCAGAATGCAGAAAGTTTTGTTGATTTTGTTTCGTGTTTCCCGTTAACATCAGAGTTTCCGCCATTATAAACTTTTTCACCTTTTTATTTCGTAACCAATTAAAGGGACTTTGCTTTTACGAAAGATCTCGCATCTCAATTCCGAGATTAAATAAAGGTTTGAGTTAAAGATAAATATATCAACAAAAAACTTTTTTCAGTTAATACTCTCATATTTATGAGATCAATATAGAACGTCGTTTGAAAATCGAAAACGAGATTAAACTAATAAAACGGAGTTAAAACTAATTTCAAATGGAAACTGAAAGAGAGACTGTCCATTATATCATATTTGTTTTTACTTATCATTGTTATTACAGTGCTAATTAAATTGAAATCTAAAATTTTGGATATAATTTACCAATAAAATCATACACTCGATCTTAAATTGAAATATCTATACAAAATTTTGGATACAATTTATCAATAAAATCATACACTCGTTCTTACAAGCTAAATATATTTCTCTCTCATAAAATATAATTTCATAAAATAATATTAGAAATAAAGATAATGTTATAAAACAATCACAATTTATTTGAATATTAAAAGTTTCTTTTATCTTTACGTAGAGATTTAAATGGTCATACGTTATTCGATTTACCTAGTTTAATTAATCTGGAATATAATGATGACAAAACAAAATAATTTTTATAATATTTTAATTATAATTTATAATTTTATAATTTTTTTTATGTAGAAACAAATAACAATCGCAACAATTTAAAAAATTTAAACAATATTATCACTCACTCAAGAATATTTACAATAGAAACTATTCTGATAGTAAAATATCAAATAATAATCTCGTATCAATTATACAGAGAAAATAGTTCAAAGGTTCTTATTTAAAATCGAAAAAACTTTAAGATGCAATAAATATATATATTTTTTTTGTGAGATTTATGAATTAATTCATTAAGAGATTGTCGAATTTCTTGTAGCAGTTTCCGCCGGATAAGAAAGAGATGTCTGTCGTTTCCAGAAGCAACGATACTTTGAAAAGGGCAACGGCAAAAACCTGAGTCAGTTTGAGCTATGCGACTTAGCAAAACGACGATGCGGATACAAGGATGGCAAGCGGGAGATGTAATGGAATATGTTTTGCCAGAAAGAGAGAAAGAGAGCCGCCTGTCTCGGAAACATCCGCGTTCTTAACGTCCGGAACACATAGCAACTTTTTGTTTTTACACACACCAATATTCACATACACACATATACATATACTGAAAATATATATTAGATTATATGAACTTTTTAAAAGGAAAACTATAACATGTAATAATGACAGTTATAATAATGAGAAACAATACATGAGACTGAATAAAAAAAGATAAACTGTTGTATTATTCAGATAATCACATCCTTTGCGAATAAATGGAAAAACAGGCAATACGATATTGCTATAGACATAGCATGTACTTTCTATAATCGAGTTGTATACTAAAGTTACATTTATTATATTGTAGCCGGAGGGAATCCGAGAAGCAAGCGAAATATCCAGGGTTGGTTGGGAAAGCCCAGTGAGTGGAAAAAAACTATGCTAAATTCTGGTTTTTACTGTCTCGGATTTTTTTCCAATGGAACAAACTGGTAAAAACTAATATAAAAATAACTAATACTAAAATACGTATATTTATATAACTTCATGCAAGATATTTTTTTGTTTTAATTAATAAATCATAATCACTATAATTTTAAAAAATTACATTAAATATAATAAAATCTTGTTTAATTCAAATTAATATATGACATTTTAAAAATAAAAACTGACATAAATGTTACTAAATTTTATATTAGTTTTTAGTTTAAGAAAATATAATATATAGATTAAAATTTTTATAATAAAATTTTTTCAATTAATATAGGTATGTTTAGCTGTCAACGTCTTCTAACAAAAACGAATTTATTTGTTATACGTTGATTCTTAATCTATCACGGATTTTATTTTGAATAAAGTTTAAATTAAAAAGAACACTCTCAATTGACGAATCGATAAAAAGGTTTTATATTTATTTTAACATTTTATATAGAAAAGATCAGTTTTTGCCAGGTTTTTTTCGGAAAATACTGGTTTTTACCATTGGTTTTACCATTGGCATGGATTTTATCTAAAAAATGTAGAAAATTTTGCCAACTGTGGAAATATTTCAATAAACTTTAAATACACAGATGAAATATTTGAAGAATACGCGACATAGAATCTTGCAATCTTCACGTTGTAAGTAAAACATCAGAAATGGAAGAGAAAGGATCAGTGTGATGAATATATTCCCTTGACAGTTAACGCCGACTATAAGAATATTTTGACAGGAAATACATCTGATAAATTTCTTTAATTCACGTTATATATTATTTCTATCCTCTTCCCTAAACTGACAAGATCGAAGTGGATTGCATACTTCGGTGTACCTTCTTCGGCCAATTTATAATTGTGATCGGGGAGCGGAAAAGTTTTCACGTCATAAATCTTTAACGCGAACGCTTGAATGCCATTCATTCGTTACGTCCATCAAATATTGATCAATCGAGATTTTATTTATACGGGTCACGATAACGTTCACGACTAGAATTCTATCGATGATTTTCTAACTTGAGATCATTCGATGTGTATGTCTATTACAAACTCACTATAATATGCATGTATTAAAAATCGAAAAGTAATCAATAATATCAATAAAAAAATTAATTTATGTACAATTAGAACAAAAACAAAAAGTCGCAAAGATAGAATTTAATAACATTTGGCGAGCACGCGAAAAATATCATCTATTTTTTTTTACCAAGAAATAATATTCGCGAAGCTTTTGTCAAATAATTCGAATTAAATTGTAATTCATTTTTCGTTTATACAATAAATTCATTTGCAGAATAATTTTTATTTCTCAAGCAAGATTGCATATAATTTCGTTTCTTTTCTTAGAATTTGGGAAATAATTCGCGGAAAAATTTAGTATGAACTTTTTCTCGAAACATCTTGCAAACCAAAAGAATTTCCTTAAATACAAAATTAACGACGTTCCATGTTTAATTCTTTTTGTTTTGCAAGCGCGTTTTATTATGGACGCGTTTTTACATTTTTCCCTCGGTACCGTTTTAATGTCTCCGCTATGTATCGCGTGTATACAGAGAGTGTGCTGTATATAATGATGCTAGAAGTAAATAGCGGTAAGAAGGAGCGAAGATGGAGAACATAATACAATCTTGCCTCATTCGTCCCCCCGTTAACCGCGTATTCATTTAGATAAGCACGATTTTGGAGTGCAAAAACCTGCGGGGCTAATCTTGGCGCTTCTTATCTCGAAGGTTCACGCAAAGGCTGCAAAATAGCCATCTTATAATGGATATTCACCTTTAGGATTTGGAACATATCCGCAATCCTGCTAATCTTAACTATGCTTCAGATAATCGACCGTTAGTGGTTGTTATCCTCTGTTGCGCATGCAATTACTCACTATCTTTATGTCCTGACTATAATCGTTTTCATGTATAAGTTGTTAAAAGAATGAAATCAGATTATAGAAACGTTTAGAAGTCATATAATAAACTGTACATTTATTTATGTGAGTAAAATAAAACGCAAAGCTAAAGAAATTTATTTCTAGTATATTAATATCTCGTTATGTTATTCTCATTCCTATTATTCTAATAAAAATATTAAATTAATGAGCCACTTAATCAGATACAATATTTCTCCTATTTGTTATTATATCATAAATAAATATATGTTTTATGCGCATAAGGTATTTAAAATACGCGACATAAAGAAGATTCAATGACTCACCACGTCGATGATTTGCTGCAGAGTGATGCCAAACTTCACCTCCAGCGGTTCGCTCTCATTCGCGACCGGTCGCTCCAAGGTGTTGTAATTTGCCAGCAGGTGATTCAATAAGCGTTTCTCGTGGCGCCCGCAAAGGCTCTCTGCAACAAGGAATGAAAAAAATCGAATGTCAGTCAGAGCTCTCTGTGCGTTATTCCGGAGGGTGTGAGCTACAAATAATAGCGACCCTTGTCAAAGCGTATTTACGAAGAGATACGAGGGGAAAGATTCTCGCTACGCGTCGACAACAGGTTTTTATTCTGGGGAAGAAACATAACAGAAAGCGATTTAATTATTCTTGGTACAACAGACGGGATAAACAATGCCCGAAACATTTTTTGCTCTTTTTGTTTATTCTCAAGCAGTCGGCAGTTTGCGAAAAGCAATTCATGAAGCTCTTGATATTGATAGAAACTATATGTCCGCTTTTTTTGTTTGTTTTAATAGAGGCGCATCGTAAATGTAATGTTGAGCTCAGATTATCGATATAGTTATTCATAAATCAGATTAAAATTGATTTATTACGATGATATTAGGTATATATTGCGACGTAATATTATAATTGTCAGTTTACATCCATTTACATAAAATTACTTCTGATATTTCGCTACAAAAAGATTCCATACATTTTCTCACTAATGCAAGTATATCAAATATATTTCGGATAATAATTACTAAAAATATGTATTATTCTCTATGTATTTAAAATATTTATATATTGTATACAACGTTGTTCATTATGCATGCATGTAATTATATGGAATATGAAACACAATAAGCTACTGTCAAATACCGCACGGCATAAATACATGATAATCACGCATATAGAGCTATGTACAATATGCCAACAACATACCTAATTATTACCATATTGCTTAAGGGATAATCTCCCTTTCCATCTTTCATCGAAAAGCGAAATAATTTAGTTACGATCCTGTCTATGCGCTCGTTCATCGATGACTGATTCTTGTATCGATATTTGGAAGCTGTATAGATATACAAATTTCTCCTTCTTTTGTATTGAAATATAAAACACAACCAGTTGTTGTCAAACACTGCGCGACATAAATGTGAGATAACCGAGTATAGGTATGTATAGGTATAAAGGTACATACAATATTCCAATAACACATCAATATTTTTTGAGGAATAATCTTTCTTTCACCGAAAAGCATAATAATTTATTTAACAATGTTATCTCCGCGCTCGTTCACTGACGACTGGCTTCGTCTGTTGTGATATCTGAAAAACGTATATATACCTGCGCATTTTATTTCTCGTCAACACAATGTGTGAATATGTAAACAAATAAAGGAGATGTTTAGATCATCATGGATTTTCTCCTCTTTTCGAAAAAACTTATGCTTTATTTTTAAAATATTTTGAAAATATTTCGACTGTTTTACATAAAAATAAAATATGAAATATATGAAATATTACAATGTATAAAATATAAAGAGGCTTTTTATACATAAAAAGGGAAATATACAAAAAGGAAATGTATTTCCATTATCCTATTATTAGGATGATATTTTTTATTTGTCAAAAGAAAAGTGCTCTCTTTCAGAATATTTAATGTTTAATCATGTTTTTTTCGTTCTATTATCTTATAAATTATGTTCTTTAATTGCTTGCAATCGATGATTTATTGCTAACTCTAATGCACTGGATGGGCGGATTAATATATTCAGACGATTATAAAGTTCGCAACTTGCATAAACGTCGGCAGACTAGAAAGTTCGGCGTGAACTCGAAAGCCGTCCGGAGTCGCACTTGGTCCACTTTGGTTCCTATCTATCAGTGACTGAACGACAACCGAGTAAACTACTTTAATCCTTCGACAAATCCCGGCGTGAGAGTGCATTCTCTATCTGACTCGGGTCAAATTGTATTCCAGCACGTGCTGCTGCGGGATCAAGTTTGGATTTCAGGACGATGTGCGTCGCCGCCGCCGCCGCCGAATACGAAATGCAACAGGATTGTGTCCGCACAGGGAGAATAATAGCCGTCGGCCGAATTCTGCGCACGTGCACCCATTGAGAACAGGCCGAGGTATCACGCGACGTGTGAAGTCAAGCGACAAATATACCGTGTTGTGAAATATCTATCGTCGCGCGAGATACACCGATCTTTCGCCCGATCCGAATATTTCGCGATTATTCCGACGATTCCGACTTCCTCTTCGCGTCCGCCCCGGGGACATTAATATTCTGTATTCGAGCGGTATTGAGATACCAGGGTCGAAACTTCCTTACAAATTCATTGCTTTACGATATCAATCATGTTGCGAATTCCGTCGACTGATAATCACGTACTCGGTTTATTCTGAAACTCCGGATCGTTTAAGTTGACAAGATAATATTATGCATCGGAATAATATTAATAGGGTGTATTCTATTTACGTGAAATTTAAATTTTATGACTTGCAAAAATATTTTTCTTGATCAAGTTATCGTGAGGAGCTTAACAATTGCATATTTGAAATAAGAAGAAATCAGTTTTCTCAATTTCTTCTAAAATAGATAATAATTAGAGAAAGATATACATATCAAATTTTGTCAGAAATGTCGCATGTATATGTACTTTGATTAGAACACGTTAGCGAATATGAACCGCGTAATTATTTACACCCACTTTTACGCCTACGAGTTAATAATTTTCAAGCGGGCGTTATATATATAGAATATTTCCAGATTATAAAAATGAAATTAATGTTGTCAGGTTAATCAAATGTATAACGCACATATCAATCCGACGTTTCTAGTTTATACACTACGGGCATATCGCGCGGGCGTTGATTAATCACAAATTTTGCAACGTAGGACGCATGACGCACATTTGACTACGTGCACCGTGTAAACAAGTCGAATTATTAGGACTGCAATTAATTATGCGATTTAAAAAGTAATTTACTTGCATTCCCTAGTGGAACAGCCTGGTGAACGAATGCTCACTAGGAGAATAGAAAAATAAATCAAAGCCCCGTTTAATTAGCCACTTTGACTGCAACGAGCGCAAATTTGTGATCGCAAAATGCCATCGTGTAAAATATGATAAAATACTCGGCAATGCGTTATCGGCCAATTTTCGCTTCGAAAGGCAGCGCTGCCGCCGCGCGCGCTCAGGGATATTAATGAATTGAAAAAATCGATAGCATCGCCAAAGGATGGGTAAGCGTGAATCCCTTTTAGCGATCCCTCGCATGGAAATAATACGGTTCGAGACTTGAACTTCTTGAATGAGCGACGGCGGAGCGCACAGCAATAAGCGACTCTGTCGAATCGTGCAACGGCCATTTAGCTGAGTGCTGGAAGACGATGGCAGTAATTAATGAGGCATACGTAAAACCGGAGTGAAACTTAGGGAAAACTAACAAGCGGGGCACGTGCGTCGCAATTCTCGTGTGCATCGCACAACTCGTATTAATGGCTTTTGCAAGGATGAAGAAGTTAGAACCGTAGAATGTCTTGTAATTAATGCATTACGCGTATGTATTTACTCTAATGTGAATAAAAAAATAAACGATGGACCTGTCCTCCTTTCCTTACGTGATATTTAATACGGAGACTATGTTTCGTAGCAAAAAATTTAATTAAATCGAAAATTGTGTTAAAGAATTAATCTGATAAAACTGAAAATAATATATAGCGATTCTTTTTATTCGGTCTAATATATTCAGGAAATATCACATCAGTTATATGATTAAATGAACGAGCTGTTAGAAAGTTATACGCTATTTCTCACTTGCTGTTATACTTATATCTCGCAAGTTTATGCAGCACTTTATTCTTCCTCCACCTTGTTCTGTCTGACGTACATCCGCCATAAGGTTTGCCATTTGCATATAATTTAATGGATCGCGCATATATCTCGCGAAAGCATGTAATGAGCATGAATCTCACATTTCGAATAATAGTTCCACAACTTTCTCACGTATCTTCGCGCGACTCCCGATAAAGCTCCATTATAGCTTACGATAGTTCATTCCGGTAGGTATTAAACTGTTTTCGCTCGAATCGCCCGAATTAAATTGCTATAGCGGTCAAATTGTTAACGGTGAGAAATGTGTTGAGAATAGCGGAAGAGCACGAAGAGTACGAACCATATAAGCAGGATTATCTCTCGTACCTGCAAATTCCTGAAAATCAACATCAACTTGGAAAATGCGCTTTGCAAATGAATAGGACGGAATCAATCTCGATGTGTACACCGTCATTTAATTTCCGAAAACTAGCGAATCGGATTAACGAGGAGATTTTCGACGAAAAGTTGCAAATTATATATACGATAAAATAATTGTTATTTGATGCGTGATATTTTCGCGTTTCTCTCATGCCTCTCGCGTAAATTATAGAGGCTTATCTCTATTCTTTCTTTTTTTATCAATATGGAGAAACAAATTTACGTATAGTTGTGTTCCGACCTAAATTGAAATCCGAATTAGTAGCCTGTGCGAGATTATATATAATAAACAAGATTAAATAAATTTAATACAAATAAAAGAGAAGGACGAGAAAGTTTGTCAAAAGCGTAGGATGAAATATTTCAATTGTTTAGCAATTGGTATGACATGTTTCGCAGACATGAAATGTAAAAAAGAAAAAGGAAAGAAACGAAGGAAACAAGGAGAGATGACAAAGCTTTGTAAGAAAGTTTGTCACTATTGTTGACTTAAGAAGTACTATCGTAGATGTCGAATTCAACAAGGAAGTATCTGAAGATTCAAGTTTGACAGTTTAAGTCGCACGAAAAAGAACGGAATCCGAAATATATGTAGGCAATAATAATGAGTTATTAAAAAAATTACACGAGCATACACTGCTAGCCTTGAAAACTTTTATGCGTGAAATTAATTTTTTATATATTTCATCAAAAGGCCTGAGAAATGAGAAATTTCATCAAAAATGGCAAGTACACGGCTTTTCGTCACTGCGGAAGATGCCATTACCAGGCCGAGAGTGGGCTTTTTAATAGAAGCTCACAAAAAATTTACAGAGAAGAGTCTTTTTATTTGCTCGCCTACGTCGATTTAGATTAATGAGACCGAGTTGCGGCAAAATCGAAGGAGAAACAAGAATGCAGTAGAGGGGAAAAGAACGTA